ATCCATGAGAGCATAAATCTAGGTATTTGGATCCTTAAGAGCAGTCAAAAATGCTCCCAATGCCATTTCGGCATAATCCGGAAAGTCAAACCTGCCGAAAATCGTTGTCTCCGAAAAATAGACCAGAAGGTAGCAAGGAACTAGGGCAGATCCTCAGATTGTCACGAATGTCCTACTTTAGCTTGCCTCATTGCATTACTCCTACACTTCGAAAAGTCTCGTCACCGTTTACATCTTCATCCTTGTCTGTTTCGATCTGTGGTCGAACTACCTGCATGATGTTTCTTTTACGCATGCAACAGCGCATTATGTGATTCAATGGTTTTGACAGAGTCTGTAGTTCTTGGAAGAAATGTGAAGTATTCGAAATGTTAAAATTTTTCTTGATGCGGTGCGTACAGTGAACACAAGGAACTGCGAATCTTTTCGTTCGTTTGTTCGTTCATTTGTCCAGAAATTCGATTCTTCCTGAAGAGCAATTCGGAGAATGGATCAAGGCTCGAATGGATAGGCGGGACAAACTGTAGTGTGTACCGGATGTATTCCCGGTGATTCGATCAAGTATGACACCGAAATGACCACCTTCTGCCGAGTAGGTAGGACAAAAGACACTGTTCACGAAAAACAATTTATTAAACGAATACTTTACAATGAAAGAAACGGCAACCAAATCAAATGAACAAATAAAGCGAATAATGAAGTGGATCTTAGGAAGGTTCAAATAAGGGGGTGAGGGAGCACCGCGACTCGGCGGTCAAAACAGATCGAAAAAAATGAGGCATGTATTCCACGCATCCGCAACTCTTATATACTCCTAATTCCCGCCAAGATCACGGCGCTTCCGGGGGCCTCTCAATGACCTGCCCTCCCACATGCCTCCCCCCTCTGAAGCTGCTGCCCTCAGCAGTGGGATCTCGTTCCTCTTGAGCTCGGGCAACGGAACCAAACCAGCTACCCTTTTCCTTATACCCTCATACAGAGCCTTAGCGCATGCCACAGTACAATCGGAGCTGTAAAAAGAAATGACAGCTTCGGGGGCTCCGATCTCACAAAAAACTGTGCCATTCTCAATTTTTGAATTGGAAGCTTTGAAAAACTGTCCTGCCCCCGCCTTTTTTTCCAGGGCGTTATCTATCAGCCTCCAGATATCAGCCATTTTTTCCACATATCCAAATTTTTCGCAACTACAGGGGGCCAGGCTGATATCACACGACCTCCTCTTTCAAAATGCATTTGACAGGCTTTCACGATTTCCATTATCTCATCTTGCTTGCATTTCGCATTCATCGGCCAGACGATCACCCAAATCGCATGCGTCTCGAACTCGTTGAGTACTTCTCTCAACTGGCCAAAACTCGCGGTCACTCTCGTTGAGATTCCTCGTTTGGGACCGTCCTTTTCCAAAAGCGCCGCACTCGCCGGTGCTGCGAAAGCTGTTGAGCCCTCCTTGATGGGCCGTCTCGCCCTCTCCTCCAGTTCAATTTCCTTTTTAACTTTCTTCAGTGCCACATCATAGGTCTTCTCGAATCCATAGTTGTCGATCTTCTCGTGCTTACTGATTCCTTCTGTGACACAAACGAATTCCGTCCAATCGAGACACTTTTCGTAGGCCAGGCGAAGAACTTTCTGCAGTGCTTCCTCATCCAAACAGACTGCTCCGTCCTTCCAGAATTTTATCTTCGAGGCCATGTCGATATCCGATCTGATGAAGATACTCGCTGCACGCCATGCGTTCCACAACGTTCCCATTGGTTTCTTCGCGAAAGCGCCGGGCAGCTGCAATCCACGGAGTTCCTCTAACTTGAATCGTCCTTCAGACATTCCATCCTTGCCACACCAGTATTCGAATGTCCTGGGTCTCCACCTTCTGACTTTATGTGTGCGCCGCTGCTGAAACAAAAACTATTTATTCTATTGACCTTAACTCTTGATTTTGTTCCTTTTCTACCCCTATGTAACCGTATCTATTCGATCATCCGGAATGCAGGATGGGACCACTCTCAGCGCATCAAACTGCACCCGAATCGGCTCTGAGTTTTCACCTATTCTCGTAATAACTGCCGAGTTATCGCTCGTCTCAATAACTCTAAAGGGTCCAGCCCACTCACACGCTAGTTTTGGGTGGGAGCTCATTGCCTTCTCCCTTGGGGACAGCATATACACGCGGTCCCCCACTTTTGCGAGCTTATTCTCATCCACGCCATTTCTCTTATCATAGTCTTTCTTCATCTTCTCCCTTACACGCTCATTATAATCCTTTATCCGGTCATGGACCTCCGCTACCGACTGCAACAATTGCACTTTATAGTCCTCCTTATTCCTCGAGTCCATCATATACCAAGATATGCTCCATCTTGAGATCACCGTGAGTGCAATTGGGTATCGGATTCCATGCAAAATAAAATAAGGACTCTCTCCTGTTGCCTGGTGGGGAGTCGTGTTATACGCGAACATGCAGAATGGTAACCTTACGTCCCATTCCATCGGCACTACCGTACTTCGCCTTAGCATGGCTACCACCGTCCCATTCAATCGTTCCGTTATGCCGTTTTCCCTAGGATTGTAGCCTTTTGTCAAGCGTTCTATACGCGTAATCCTAGTCAACTCCTCCATGATTTTATTCTCGAATTCTCCACCCCTGTCCGATAAGATTGCTTTAGGCCAGCGGCATCCTTCCGCTATCCATCTCACAAAGAGCGTTTTCGCAATCGTTTCTGCCGACTTGTCCGCTACAGGGTAGGCTGCTGCAAACTTCGAGAAATGGTCGATGACGGTAATCGCATACCGATTCCCACTCGACGTCATCCCCAATTCTAAAACATCCACACCGACAACTTCATAGGGTTTCGAAGTGACTATCGGCTTCAATGGGGGTGTTGCCCGTGACTTAGCGTTGTGTACAAAACATCGTTGACACTCTCGTGTCCACTTATGGACATCTCGTGCCATGGCTGGCCAAAAAACTTGCTTCCTCAGTTTTAGTCAACCCTGTGTTGCCACTAAAAATGCCCTGCAAACGTTCCTGCGTGGGCTTCGTGAAAAACTTCGTAGCGGGCGCTTCTTGGTACCACATATACCAAACTTCCCTCATTGGTGTACATTTTTAGATCCCCATCTTCTATTACGAAGTCCGCCACATTCACCGGATTCCGTATCCCTGGCATCGTCACGACGTCAAGGCTACGCCCACTTCTTATCACGTGGAATATAACAGCTCTTTCTCTAATTCCGTCATCCACTTGGTCTTCTCTTTGGCGTTAATGGTATTAACCACTGCCTCGTTGAGCCCGTGCTCAGACTCCGAATCGTTCCACTGTACAGCCCCTCGACTAAGCGCGTCTGCAACCACATTTGTCTTCCCTTTCACATACCTTATCTCGAGATTATACCTTTGAATCTCCAGAGACCAACGCAAAACTCTGGCCGACACATTCGTCCTGTTGAAAAGTGCAGTCAGTGGCTGATGGTCTGTCAGAACCACTGTGGGAAGTCCATAGATGAACATGTGAAACCGCCTGACCGCGAACACTACCGCTAAAGCCTCCAAATCCGTCACGTGATACCTGCGTTCTGCCTTGCTGAGCCCTTTCGACGCAAAGTAAACCGGATGAAGATTGCTGTCGTCCCCCTCCTGGGACAGCACGGCTCCCAACCCCGACGTTGAGGCGTCTGTGCATATCACAAACGGTCGAGAACCGTCTCTGGCCTTTGCTATATTTGGCTGCATCAACACTGGCGACGTTGATATCATCTTCTTAACACTGTCGAACGCCTCCTGATGCTCGCGATGCCATTCCAAAGCCGTCTTCGGAGACGTGAGAGAAAACAAACATCCTACTCGCTTCGCGAACCCCAAACAGAACTTGCGATAGAAGGATGCCATCCCTAAGAAAGTCCTCAGTTCCTTCACGTTCACCGGAGCCTTGTAACTCGTGATTGCTTCCACCTTCTTTGGGTCCATATGGATACCTTGCTTATCCACGACATGCCCCAAGAAATGTACCTTACTTTGCATCAGCACACACTTCTGCGCTTTCAATCTGAGCCCTGCTTCCTGCAGCTTCGCACACACTTGTTTGAGTAGCTCTATATGCCTTTCCCGCGTTTCCGTACAGACTATTATATCATCAATGTAACAGAAAACTTCAGTTCCAAGAAGGTCACGCAACACCGTATCCATTAGTCTCTGGAACACAGGCGGACTGGTGCTTAATCCGAAAGGAGTCACACGAAATTGGAATAGTCCTTCCGGCGTAGTGAACGCTGATTTCTCCCGTGCCTCAGCCGTGAGTGGGATTTGCCAGTATCCACTACAAAGATCCAAAGTCGAGAAATACGATTTACCCGACAAACTTTGCAATACTGCGTCTATCGTGGGTAAAGGGTATGAATCAAGCTTAATTTTCTTATTTAACTCGCGGTAGTCCACGCATAATCTGAGACTGCCATCTTTCTTCTCCACCAAAACAATGGGAAAAGCCCACTCTGAACTACTTTTTTCTATCACTTTCCTCCTTTCCAAATCTTCTAGGAGCTCTCTAAGTTTCTTTCTCATGCCCAGTGGAACGGGCCTTGTTTTCATCTTAACTGGTCATTAATCACCTATCACTTTGTACTATGTTCATTTTCTACCACATTTGTACCTGTCAGCTCCCTGTCATTTACTGAAAAGGCTTCAGGGAACTCGTCTAAAACTGACTCAACATCTTCGCTCAACGTTTCTACACTTGACGCCTCCTTAATCTGTTCTAGCAGTAAAATTCGCCTCTGCTCTGGACTCATATCAGGGATGTACTATCCAGCATGAGCGGGTTCACATCTTCCCAACCCTCACGCCATTTCTCTGTCCCCCACTGACCTATCACGTCTCCTTCTCTACAGATCATGGGCTCATCGCTATCGTTCACCACGGATACATCTACACTTCGACCTTTGATGGTATACACACCTGCAACCATCCCAGTCCTGTGTGGCCAAATGAGGTGGGGGCGCGATCTCCCTCAATAACCGTGCCCCTCACATCGAGCCGACACAATCGCTGCACTATGCGGGGTAATGTACGCCCTCCTGGCTACTATTACCTTTCTTGAGGACACCCTGTCCTTATCCGGATCTAGCTCTGGTGATATATGCACGTTCACGCCTAACTGGTCTAAGGAGTTTGTACCCAGTAATATCTCTTTTTCATTGACATCCATAATGTGGAAAGACACTTTGGCTTTTCTACCTCCTTCTAATTCTACTGTAATCTTCACAGCTCCCATGAACTCCATGCGATTACCTGATGCGTCATACACTGGAACCATGTCTGAATTAGAAATCATCTCTAAACTGTCCACGTCAAAGCCACTTCTTTGTGCCTGTGCCAGCACAGCTATTGGTACTATGCTAATCATTGAACCCGTATCAAGCACGGCGCGCACCCGAGCCGACAACATGTTGACCCATGCTGAGCATATCTCACCTATTAAGGGTCCACTCATGTCGCCGTTGGCTCTTATGCCAAGGCTCCGCGCACTCTTGATCAACCCTGTCATGTTTTTACGGTTCTCTTCCGACTCACTTGTCGTATTGTTGGACGTATCCACTATCTGGTTAACGCGGGGTCTCCTCCGTGGACAATCCTTCCCAATATGCCCTATCTGCTGGCAGTTGTAGCATCTTCTTCTATCGCTGCCTCCTTCGCTACGACCTCCCTGTTCTCTTTCAGCGTGACCCCTAGTCCCACCATTCCGAACCTCCTCACTGGGTCTGGAATGCCTCATCTCGCTTCTGCTGGCCCCCTGCTTGGGCCCGTCATTCAAATTGACTTCGCTATGCCCTCTGTCCTGGACAGGGTTTTAGCTCGAGCTCTCGCTTCCTCTCTTCTTGATGGTACGCGGCTGACCTCCTTTTCCATCCATCTCTGCGCGTGCCCACTCTCGGAGTCCATATCGCCTTTGACTGCTCTATGCTCAGAGCCAACTGCTTGACGGAGTCATACGCCTCAGTGGGGTCTACCCTGTGTAGCGTGCTCAGTAGGTGGACGTGCTCTGGCCAATCCGTCAAATTGTCCAGAAGTATCTGAGCGTACTCAAGCGATCTATCTTTTATGCTACAAGAGGGGTTAGCCTGTCGACCAAGTTTCTCCAGTGCAAGACAAAAATCCGCAACACTTTGATCCCATCTCCGCCTTAAGGTTCTTAGCTCGGCCAGTGCCCTCAATCGTCCCGCCGTTGAATCGTTTGCCAATAACTTCCTTAGTTCTTCCACTACTGTCTCGAAACTTTGCTCTCTTACATTCCTAGGTAATGAAAGAAAAACGCTTTTGGCCCTGCCTTCCAGATGATCGTCAACCATAATGTCCAGTAGAGTCTGATCATCAAAAATAACAGTCCTATACTTTCGTTTAAATCGTCTTATGAACTCTTCAAAATTGTCGCCCTTATTCCCCTTGAATATCCCAGGGCTTATGCATGCATTGGCTTGAATGTATGCCATAAAGTTTAAGGCATCCTGACCTGATGTGCCGCTTTGTCGTCCCGATATCTCCGAATGCTGCCTCGAGGCTGGCGCGTAAGCTGCTCCAATCGGTGACGTCCGACTTCTCCGTGGCAGAATCTGAACAAAGTCTCTGTTTGATGAAGAGCTATCCTGTTACTCCTATCCATTGACCGACCTTCATCGTGCTCGGTGTCCATCTTTCCTTCATTTCCATTGAGCTCGTTGCTGCTTCGAATGTTCCTCCTCGAAGCCTGGACATCTCATGCCCTACCACACTCGCTCTTATGTCTTCCAATATTGTACACGCCCGGCTAGTATGGCTGTACAAAATTTCCATCAACTGGTTTCTATACTTCCCGGCTATACGTGCCTCCGATAGCTCCTCTTCAACCCGTAACGGTAAACTGCTTAACCGTCAGTTCCTCCCATGACCTTAGTCCAACTCATTCTGCTTATCGCAACCTTCAATCTTGATCACTAAACTTGAGGCGGACCCTTCTCTCCATTACATCGCCCTCCGCCGGCGGGTTCTCATCTTTCTTCATTATTCTTGTGCAATAGACATATGTGTTATTTCGATCAATATCACGAATTGTCAATATCACGACGCCGAGTTTTATCGCGAAGATATCGATCGATAACACGCAATAATGAACACCACAAAACACAGTGTACCGCCTTACACCTCACTCTTGTAAAGGCTTCTCACTTCCCTGGACGGCTTACTCTGCGTCCCTGCCCTCTTGGGGTTCCCTCTCTTGGCCCCTAGCCAACAAGAGATCACCTTTTCCCGAAAGTTCCCGGCGAGTCCCTGCTTGATTCGCCTCCTCTACCAGCCCTAGGACGGCTTACTTCGCGTCCCTGGTCTGACTCCTGCTGTTCACTATCTGAACAGCTTCTATCAATATGGAGCTGGGGGTCGCCTTTCCTGATCACTTGTCGGCGATTCTCAAACTTCCCCCACGCTGGTTCTCCAGTTCGGCTTATGCGGTCCCCTTTGACCGTTCTCTGTCTTCTATGTGCTACCACGCAGCCAGTCACAATCGATTCGACTTGATCGGTTCGGCCCCCATGTACCGGATGTATTCCCGGTGATTCGATCAAGTATGACACCGAAGTGACAGTTCTGCGAGTAGGACAAAGACACTGTTCACGAAAAACAATTTATTAAACGAATACTTTACAATGAAAGAAACGGCAACCAAATCAAATGAACAAATAAAGCGAATAATGAAGTGAATCTTAGGTAGGTTCAAATAAGGGGGTGAGGGAGCACCGCGACTCGGCGGTCAAAACAGATCGAAAAATGAGGCATGTATTCCACGCATCCGCAACTCTTATATACTCCTAATTCCCGCCAAGATCACGGCGCTTCCGGGGGCCTCTCAATGACCTGCCCTCCCACAAGTGAGCGAGTGCGCTCAGTGGAAGGTGCTCGCATTAGGCTTTTGCTTCGAACCCTTTCAAACCCTCTTGATTAGTAAAGTTTATCCTCACAACGTTGACAAGACAAAGCAATTATTCAAAGGCACATCAACGAAAGAAACTTTGAGATGGTACAAGGTGCGGGTAAGACAGAGCAATAAGTGAGCTGATACAAAGCACATGAATGAGCAGTAGTTATGAATATGACAGGGCCTCTCTCTGGAGATGGCACATGATAGGGCTATAAGACCGGAAGCTGCACTCGATCCTTGAAGCATAACCACATATGAAGGCATGCGCACGCCGTATCCTCCCGTCTCGGACATTAAAACCGAAGAAGAGTAAGGGAAGGAACGAGCTCGACCATTGTACCCTAACGCACTGATCTCATGAAGCGGGCAAAGTCGTGCGGTGGAACAATATACCGCTGTTCCGTGGAGGAGGGTGATCATCAAGCTGAGAGCACCGCATAGCGCGGGGTTTGAATTGTGAGGAGCAAGTTGATGTACACTTCATATCACCGCGATCCGTCGGGTCGCAATCGGCGGTCCTTCGGTGTTTCCAGCATTGGTTGTTTCCATTCTGAATCGGTCGCTACCTGATCGCCATTGGTAGAGCGAGAAAAACGAGCGCGGTCTCGAACCTCGAATCACGCCGGCTCCGACAGTCCGCAATGATGACGATTATACATCCCGATTTAGACATGACGCGCGTTCGAGAAGCGACCCACTACGAAACAGGCGCTGATGCTATCCCACGCTGAATCATCGGTTGGGGGGAGCTCCTGAACGCTAAGCGATTTTCATCCTAGATTTGATGAGTAATGGTCTGAATGAGGGGCACCAGGAACTTAAAATCGCTGGCGCGAACAGCGTGAGGGCTGCTTGCTTAGATCGACTCTCTGGAGCTGCCGATTCCTCTACATTGACACCTGAAACAGAAGAGACATTAAAAGTAATGACGCTGCAGAGTCACCTTGCGCGGTGGCCTCTGACGTGTTCACAGGAAGGAGCGTTCACTCGTCGTCCTGAGAAGATGAGACTTGAGTCTGACACTCTGTCTCAGCTGCATTGCAGCTGGGAAAATTATTCTGGGTATCGGCCGCATCGTGGCAGGAAGAGGAATAGCTGGACACATCGTCCACGGGCGGCCGGCTCCGGCGAAGGGTTTAGCCGTCCACAAAGTTGAGCATAAGGAAGTTTGCGTCTACGGAAGTTTTCTGAAATGGGAAAACTAAATGATGAAGTACGGAGCCAAGAGACAGCTTTTGCGAGGAAACAAAAACAGTCATAGCGGAAAGAAGCGGTGTAGGAGAAAAACAAGTAAGCAATCAAGGAGTAGAAGCAAAATACGTGTGATTGAGCCGAAACAACCATTGTGGTTGCTTTAGCTACTCAGTGAAAGAAAAAGGCGGCGATGGCGTTCGCCGAGTTGGAGTCAACACTGCGATCAGGCGAGACGAATGTTTTGAATGATTGCATGGAAGAGCCATGACGACTGTGTGAGCGCCATGACGAAGTGAAATTTCTGGCTAAAGGATCAAGCGATCATATGGAAGATCGTCGTGACCTGAAAGTATTACATGAGTAAGCTGGTAAAGTGGGCTGGGATGAGTCCAGGTGAGGTCCCGTATGTTGACGACCTACGACATTTTCGTCTGTGGCGTACGCGGCCCTAATGCTAATTGCTCGACCTCTGGCGACAAGGGGTCGTGAAAACAGGACCAGGGAAGGATGGTAGGTCGAAGTGGCCATTTGAAATGAAATGTATACCGGCTGAAAGGTCTTCGGACGGGAATTACGAAACCGTCTTCCATATCTGCTGCGGACCTCCCAGAAAGAAGTTACGGAGCTTTTTAGGGGGAGAATATTTGCACAGTACGAATTGGCGGCGTGAAGGCTGACGCGATCGTGGCAGACTAGTGAAGCCATTGCGAACGATTTCATGGAGATCACTTCTGGCTGAAGAGATTGTCATACGAGCCGAAAACTTCCAGCAGGTGCGAAACCACTTTGGGATAGACATCATTCAACACTATGTGAGTGATGAATGAAGGTTTTGCCCATCGCGATCTCCAGCATGATTGCCACATCAACGCCACTTCATATGAAAGCATTTTCCCCACTATACTCATCTTCGTGCACAACTTCGTGCGTTCGGATTCGTTTTCCAGTCATGTCGTTTGGAGAATAAAGTCATTTGAAGGCAAAATCTTTCGTTGGAATGCACTTTTGTTGTGTATGCTTTTCAAATCAAAGAAAGAAGAAGTCAACAGCCAGAAAATGTTCTCCATGGAATCGTTCGCAATGGCTCCATCAGTTCAGAAACATTACGTCACGACATTATCAAGCGCAAGAAGTATGCAAAACCGCTTTGGACTACAAAGATACCGCTTTCGAAAAAATGCAAAAAAGCATACCTATCAAGGATCCAAATCCTCGACCAGCTGTTCTTGAGCCCTGGACATATCCACTTGGCCATGCTGCCACGTTCGAGTCGGCCTTACGCCGCCATTTCGTACTGAATGCGAATATTCTCCCCTAAAAGCTCCGTAACTTCTTTCTGGGAGGTCCGCAGCAGATATGGAAGACGGTTTCGTAATTCCCGTCCGAAGACCTTTCAGCCGGTATACATTTCATTTCAAATGGCCACTTCGACCTACCATCCTTCCCTTGTTAGCTTGGTTCATATGGACCCGTTTAGATGTTGACAGACGAGGAAATGCTAGCGATAGTGAGATGACGGGGGTCGAATCGAATAAATCGAAAATGACCCAACCAAAGGTATCGCAGACCTTAGAGGGGATTTAGGTGAGCGTTCAAACCGTTGCTTGGATTTGAGCCGCTGGCGGTCATTG